CCCCAAAACCCCAAAACCCCCATAATTAAAAATAATCAGACTGCATTAGGAATTGTGAAATCTTAAATTAGAAATTAATCATTTTATTGTCTTTCCTCAAAAGCATATTCCATTAGAATTCATATTGATTTCATTTAAATTTCTATTAAGTATGAAGTATTAATGACTTCTTCAATGATAGTAATCGAATACTTTAGTTTTGTAAGTATTAGATGTAACATAAAATATAAGCCCGAATATTTCAGCTCCTAAGAATATAATTCCACAATCAATAAAGTAGTTCTGGTATAACTAATCAACTGTTAGGCTGGGATCAGGTTTCACAAGCATCGGAGCCATTCCACCTAGCACAGAAAAGAAAACTATCACTGTACTTAGGAATGAAGGTATAAAGTATATTGAGTTTATAACCCACTCTGCCAGCAATAAAATGAATAATTCAATTTGGAAAAAATCATTTTAGTCAAGTCTTTCACTGTTAGAGAGCAATACTCTTGGGTCTTTTACTATTTGCTTGAATGCATATAAGTATGATCCAACAATAACATCAGAGTCCTCTTCAGTTGGAATATCAGGAGGGTTATAGCTGTCAACCAATCTTTAGATGCCTGAGTAAATGCAATAAATAACTGATATAGATTATAAACTCAATGCAGCTATGTACCAATCAGCATATAATTGAAAGAAAAACTCATTTGATTTGCTTGTGAATTGGCTCAAGCCTAGAAAGAAAGTACCTCCGTAGGCGTTAAAAAGTCCCATGTTTTAGAAGAACCAATATTTATCTGTAAACGAGAATAAATTTCTTTCAAGATCAAATGGTGCCTAAAATGTAATTATTATTGCACTAATTAATCTCCAATAACCGAGTTAATCTTCTGTCATGAAACCATATAGAGGTGTTAGCACCATTTCAACATAATTCCCTCTATAGTCTTTATATTCACTTATTGTCATTTTATTTATTTATTACTTTCATAATACCTTTTCTTGAGTTTAATATTGTCCAAATGGGGTTTTGGGGTTTTGGGGTTTTGGGG